CACACATATATATATATATATTCACATTTTCGCACAACGCTACCTGTCTTTTTGGTGGTTACCCGGGAATAAGGGCATATAATCTCTATACAACTCCCATGTAACATATTCCCTTATTCCCTACTAACGCTAAACCCTAAATCCTATATACATCGTAAAGAATATATTCCCTTATTCTCTACTAACCCTAATCACTACATAAACCGTATGTAATATGTTCCCTCATTCCCTACTAACCCTAAACCCCAAACCCTATATAAACCGCATAGTAGCCACCAGTAGCTTGTAGGAGCCGGACGCAAGTAGTGACTGCTGGGCGGAAGGTACCACAAGAAAAGAAATCATCCATCAAGGTTGGGGTCCTAAGGTTTAGGGTTTAAGGGGTTGGGGACCTAAGACTCCCAAAGGCTTCATGTAGCTATATGGTATATATTTAGGGCCCAAAATGGTTCCCATATGACTACTTTAGGGCCCAAGTATATACCATATAACTACATGGAGCCTTTGGGACTAGGGTTTAGGGGGTTAGGGTTTTTAGGGTTTTGGGTTTAGGAGTTCAGCGGTTCAGGGTTTAGGGTCATAAGACTAGCAACTGTTCCGCTAAGAACTCATTGTCGCAGTATCACCATGTTTGTCAACGGAAGCTCTAAACTCTAACCCTAAAGAGAGATGATACTTCCAATTTTCTTTTCTATTGTCCTTATCGAACCCCCCCGATACCACTCGATATCTCATAGACATATATAAATAGAGCACTACATAACCCTTGTATCTATGCTTGTAGTCATGTCAATAATGATGATGTTTGCTTCGGGGGGATGCTGCCGTTTCACAGCTTCGATTGTAATGGTGTCGATGCTGAGGCAGCCTATGCGTGCATATGGATCTGCGACTGGCGCCTCCAGCAAATGTGGCGCAAGAAGAAGTAGCATGCGGAAAAAAGACGGTATCATGGTTGTGGCTCTTAGTACGCAGCTTGGGGTTTGGGGGCAGGGAACACTGGAGCAGCAGGACCTGTAGCAATGGACCGTCTATCGGCTGAGGAATAGAACGTCTCTTCGGGTGAATTATGGCTTTGCCCGCCTTGCATGTGAGCTATAGTCTAAACTGCTTTTTAAAGGGGGTTATATGAGCTATAGTCTAAACTCCTTAGAGGGGAATATATAGGGGGTTATATAGGGAACTACTACAGGGCTTATTAAGGGGGATACTAGGAGTTTAGACAGTAGCTCATATAGAAACTAGATAGGGAATATTAAGAGGGGTAATTAAGGGGGATGCCAGCTCCTGTGCTGCCGGCACCATCTTGTGAAGCCTCCTTCAAGTGCTGACGTGCGGTTCCACTGCGTACAGCTCAACCAGCCGAGAAGTGAAGCTGATCTAGCTAGAAGTCCACCAGTAACTGTTATTATTACCCGAAATAGTAGTAGCAATAATCGCAACAATAGAAATACGAGTAAGCATAGTAAGAGTAGTAATAGCGGTAAGAATAGTAAAGATGATGATAATGGTAAGAATACTACACTCCCCCAAACTAACATGGAAACCCATATAGCCCCCTTTTAAAAGGACTGTAGTCTTTATAGAGCCCTTTTTGGGTTTCCATGATAGTTTCCGGGAGTGTAAGAGTAGTAAGAGTTTTCAACAGACCCAGCTTTAGCCATGGCGTCCGCTGCGCCAGTGCAGCCTGTTCCACAGCAGGCCCTGCAGGGATACGATGAGATCCCAGCATCTGCCACGACCTCAAAGATAAGGTTATGATACTATGGTTTAGGGTTTAGGGTGTAGGGTTTAGGGTTTAGGGTATGTGGCAGTTTCCCAAAATTAGAGGTACCCTTTAAAGGGGTGCTATAGGGGTTATATAGGGTTTATATTGGGGCTATGTATAACGGAAAAGAAAATGGAAACTACTATTTGGGGTTTAAGGTTTCCCAAAATTGGGGGTACCTTTTTGGGTTGAGAAGGATTCTAGTATTTTGGGGTCTATGTTGGGGTCCCCTTTTTTGGTGGAAAGAACCATGTAGGGGTTTAGGGTTCAGATGTGTTTAGGGTTTTGGGATTTGGGGTTCAGAGTGAGTGCCGCATCAGAAAAGTGTGGCAAAACGCCATAATAGTTCTTACGGCCCATGCTGCAACTCTCTCCCATAGTTGACAACCTCTGCCCACCATAAGCATGTTTCGAAGCTCTCTAGGGATCCCTAATTGCTGGAAGCCCTTTCGATGAGCTATAGTCTAAACTCCTCAAAGGGGGTTTGCATATACATACACAGAATTCTATATATATATATATATATATATGGGTAGAGGGGTATTCCCCCCTGCATTTCGTGCACTTTCCTTTATAACTTACGACATGCATCCTAGTATATAGTATGCGCTACAAACATGATGTTATACGGCATGCATTCC